CCTTTAATGTATGGTAGGAAGGAGACTTTCGCAGGTGGTTCCTTGTCTCCTGCCGGCGGTCTGTTTTTTTGTCGTGAAAAATGTTCTATTTGTTCCCTGCGATAGCCGTTTCCTTGTAAAACCATGTTAACATGATCCAGTTCCGCCTGCGAAAAACCTAAATTACAGTAATAAGTCCATTTAAAAAAAATGGTTGACCCGAGATTTTTTTGTTCTTCGGCTTCCAACTGGCAGCTGCAGTACTAGCCTCTAGCTACGCTACTGTCTCGTAATAAAGTTTAATAAAGACCTGGTGACTTTTTCCAATTCTGGCAACTAATTCTGGCGATAAATATATTCTTCATCTGGTAACCCTGCTGCGCGATGTGCCTGCCAGACAGACCCGCCTGACTTTAGCTTCCCGTCCTAACTGTGTCGAGCTTCCTACATCCAGAACTGGCCGATACGACAGCTCTTTTGACCCTAGGGTATCGAGATTGTGGAACAATCTACTTGAGAAGGCTTTTGCCAAATCTGCTAACAATAGGCAGCCCAAAAATCAGATTGACAAAGTTTATTTAAGCTTCTCATAGCGGCCGCGGTGCCCTGGTATTTAGACTTCTGCCTGCTTCAGCAAAATACTAAAAAGAAATGACTATGGACAGCTATTCCAGTCGTTTCCACAGAGTGGAAGCAACTTTTTATAAACCAGAACCTAGAACCGAAAAATGAGTTACTATATTATATATTATTATTATTATATACATATATATTATTAATGTGCATATTGATCATCGCTACCGAAGTGTGCAGCTCTTGCTTCCTGTCCCGTTAATAATTTGACTCGAACCCTCAGTCTATGTATTTATTTTACATTCATAGTCGAGTGTGAGAAAAGACAGGTCTTCACGGTACTGATTCTATGGTACCATGGGTGTCGTCAATATATCAACTGGGCTCGTAACTTCGTAGGAATTTGTGGAATTATTTTTGTATTCTATATGCGTCCGAGAATGGACATCTTATTCCGGAACACCCTGTACATTATTCAATCACCTATCATCGTCGGAATCAAACAAAATCAATGAGCGCGATAGGTTTTGCAATGCATTTTGCTAATTGTGGCAAAGCTGTCAGGTTTATTTGGTCCTCCGTAAATGCCAACTTTGCGCGACGGAATAACAAAATGTATTAATGTCTAAGTTTGAAAGACAGTGTAAGCTGACAACACTCCACCTTTTCGTCACTTTTTTCTTTTTTCTATTAATACAATTATTTTGTAATGCTGTGACGAATAAAGGCCATTTATTATAATTATTATTATTATTATTATTACTTTTTCGGCTAAAATTGTGTAAATAACGCTTCATGCCCATGATGTTTTTGTTAATGGGGCATTCCACGTAAAGCGGACGCCGAAAAAAAAGTGAGATTTTGAAATTCGTTCATATTATTAGGCCTGTTTATACATCTACTAGGTGTAAAACAGAAAACATAATGGTTTTTCGTGGCTCGCTTATTTGCTAAGATACGGGCTTCGAAAGTATAGCCGTACTTGAAATTGGGATGTTTTCAAAAAAAATCTGAATTCAAAGGTATTATATTGGGATATTAAATAGGGCGCTTTATATAGGAAATTTTCTGTTATTTTTGATTGAAAAAATCAAATTTGAAATTAAGAAAAAATCAGGTGCTAAACCGGAATTAAACTGATCAAATCAAAATATGTATAATTTCGGTCGTTTTTATTTTTGATATTTTTACGCCAAAATATAGTCTACCGTGTGTTAAATACACTAAAAGTTTAATTAAGGAAATAGGTATTTTTATGTGCATATATATTGCATTGGGTATGATGTCAGGCGCTTGTTTAGGTCAACTGGTTTGTAAGATATGACATAATAGGCTACAATATGAGTATTTTTCAGCTCTAGTGATTATTTTTTATATATTTTTATATAATTTCCAGAATTATAGGTTCTTTTTATACAATTTCCTTAAATATTGAGTTAAAAAAATAGGGTGCAAAATTGGAAGTAAAGGCTTCAAAATACAATTTGAGTTACTTATATCATTTCTATTATGACTTTTGACTCCAAAATATAGCCTGAAATGTATTTAAAATACACTAGAAGTTTTAAAATGGGATGCCCATTCATGAGTAGGTATTTTTATGTTGATTGGTTTGCTAGATATGGCCTCAATACGCTGCTAGATGATTTCGAAGCTATGGTAATAATTTTCAATATGTTTCCATTTTGACAAAAATATATAATGTGAATAACCCGTACTTATAAACTCGAAAAAATTCTTCGAAAAATCTCCAATTTCAAGCACGGCTATTTTTTCAGAGTCCGTATCTTAACAAATAAACGTACCACGAAAAAAATCGAGTCTGCTCTTTCATACATACCACAGTCAGAGCACAGTCAGAGTAGGAGATTCTTGGCAGTAACTCATCTATGCTGCTGGAAAACCGCAGTTGCCAAATTTCAGAAATGAATTTACCTATCCATTTAAAAACACTATATGATCTAAAACTAATAGGAACTAAGAAACGCATATTCAGATGGGACAAACAGTAGAAGGACTATTAATATGGCACAATGTAAGATTGTACATGTACAAACAGGTCCAATATGAGCGATTTTTTATATCTGTACCTAGGTGGTAGATACCGTCCCAGATCACTCAAAACCGCGAATCCATCCTCTAATTCTACGGTATTCAGCTGACATTTAGAGGGTTATAGACAAAAGTACTAATATTGACCACAAAGGATTTACTGGCCATTTTACACCGTGGCTGTCAGACAACGCCCATGGCGTCACCCCTCCCAGTCGTCTCGTCAGTAATATGTCTACGCAACAATTATTTTCACATTCTTTATCTTCGCTAGGCATCGCCGGCTCCCAAGACGAAATTGCTCTACATAATTACATACAGCCTTTGTTTACACACACTACTCAGTAGTTGTTGTTGAGCTGTTTAAATTTTAAATAGAAAGACCTTCGTGTAATCCGTATGCAAAGACTTGAGTGTTTGTACTTTCTATCAAATATTTAAAGTCCTTTAACCACCAATAACATAATGGCCTTAACTATTGGCTGATATCAGACCACTAGATAAACGATAAATCAAAGTACCACGAGCTTTTCACGTAAAGAACCTTGACCACACACAATGCAACTAACCCCTTTATTGAACAACATGTGTTTATTGCTCTCCAAAACTTCTCCACATAAAAATTAATTGTTTTTACACCGCTTTAATAGCTTGCAACTACGCCGCAAACTGGCGACTAGGTCTTTACCTAGCCCATAAACACCCAGTCCCAGGGCCTACCAATTTAAATGGTGCATATTGCTGTATCTTGATGCGAAAATTGCCTTACTGGATGACCTGAATTGTGGAGATCTACATTGCCTTTCCTAGACCCTCAGACCCATAAACCCCTAAGGTTGAAAGCATGCCCATGATTCTCAATTTTTAATGCCTAGGCACACCCCTGTTTGAACCAGAAACCATGTTGAACATGAAATGTTGTCCGCCACCCCCCCTTGTATTCTGCTACAGGTTGCTCTGTACATAGTGAAATGGTAGATGGTATGCAGCGAGACCTTTTCATATCTGAACATAAAAAAGTTCTAAATTCAGTGTTTACGGATATACAGGGGATCTATCTGAACAAGCCAAGTATTTAATATAACATATCTAAGGAGCTGTTTAACCGATTTCGTTGAGATTTCGTACAAATAGCAAAGTTATTTAAAAATAATCAAAAACTAGATGCACGCGGACGGTGGTTTTTTCTGACTTCTTTGTTTTTTATCAAAATCAACACCTTTTAAGCTGTATATTGAAAAGTTTAGCTACGAGTATGTATAAAAAAATCAAATGAAGTTTATCAGCAAAATAGATTGAATAGGCCTCTTTTTTTTTGTTTTTACATTTACTCAAATATCAAATATAAGTCAGTTCTGCCATTTGAAGTTACACAACAACATAAGTCCTGATTTAAAGTGAAACGGCAGTTGGACGCAAATGCACTAAATTTGACTCCCCAGACGAATTTCAAATTCTGATGATAATTTTCAGCATATTCACTTTTACGTGCTTTCACCATAGCCCTGCGTTAGATTTAGTTACATAATGCACATATTAAACGTGTGAAGTCCCGATCTGCTTACTGCGTTTTTGTGTATTTCTAACTTAATTTGAAGTTCGTCTGGATGATCAAACAGTTGGTGGAAGCAAATCATTAAAAAGATACCGAAAAAAGGGTGCATAACATTAATATTCCCTTTTATCCTTATTATGTATTGCTCTTTTTCCTGCGAAATAATAAATTCAGGATGACCTACAGCGCATTGAACTTACAATTAATAGAATACAAGGAATTATTTTGAGTTCCCAAAACACCTTTTATTCAATTTTTTGTAAAACGTTGAAAGTAGATAACTTTTGAAATTTTTAGTTTTGTGTCACATGCACTGCTCAAAACTGAATTAAAATGTTGTTCAACCAAAATCCCAAAAAAGGCGCAAGCAATCTATTTTTCTAATTAATTCGTACCATTGATTGGATCCTTTGTATATACATAGTCAAACGTCACAATATCCAGCTTAAAAGGTATTGATTTTGATAGAAAACAAAAAAGTGTAAACAATCGAGTACAGCTCTGAGTTTTTTAACCACCCGTCTAGTTTTACGTTACCCCTAGACAACTTTTCTGTGGTGCAACATTTCAACAAAATTGGTTCGATAGTGTCTGAGATGTGATATTTTAGACTTCGCATGATTAGGTATCTGTAAAAACTGGGTACTAGAACTTTTTAACAATATATAAAAAAACAAGCAAAAGAAAAAACAATCTTCGAAATAAAGGAGAAAAAAAGGAAAAAATAAAAAGTATTGGTAGAAACAAAATAAAAAAACCCGTTAAAAAAACAGCAATTTGTGTTCTCATTCTCTATGTAACTATAATAGAAATAGTACAGTGGTAATATTAAATAATGGATGTTCTATTTTCTATTAGAGCATAGCATGATACTGAACCTAAGGATCTGGCCAGTTGGCCATCGACCAGTGCCAATAACAGAACAAAAAAAACTGTTTAACATTAGCTTGGCCTGTATGTATGTTTGTAACGGAGCATAATTTTCACCAATTTCCAGCAGTTTGATTAATTTGAAACTTCGTACACGTATCAAGGACCGATATCAATGCAATAAGCAGCCATGGATTTCAAATGCCGCTTTACAAATATTGCTGTAGCTCAAGTGGCAAAGCACCGGTCTTGTAAACCAGGAGTCGTGAGTTCAATTCTACAGGAGGCAGATTGTGGTAAACCTTTTTTTTATTTTTTTCAGCACGCTTTTATTAGCTTGACCTGTAACTATGTATATATGTATGCAACGGAATCTTTGAGCATAATTTTCACCAATTTCGAATTAAAAAATAAAATATAAATATTTGTTTAAAAAACTAAAAAAACACGCCTTTTTATCTACCGAACTAAAAAGTGGGAAATAATTTTTAATTGCAAAGAGTTTATATTACAGTAGTAGATGGTCCAACAATCAATCATAATTAATGACCTCAAAATAAAACTATAATAAAGCTTAAGTTAATTTTAGAATAATTCAATTCAGAGTAAAAAGCGTGGGGCGCATTTTACTACATTTTCATAACTCTCCCCTCATAGATAGTTGCCAATAGAATGATTGTAACATTTAAAATATAAAGCACCCTCTGAATTGAATTATTCTGCTAATAACTTAAATTTTATTATAATTTTATTTTGACGTCATTAATTATGATTGATTGTTCGACCATCTTCTACTGTAATATAAACTCTTTGTAATGAAAAATTATTTTCTACCTTTTAGTTCGGTTAGCTATAAAAGCGTGTTTTTTAGTTTTTTAAACTATTATTTATTTATTTTCAGACATGAAAAGGCATTGGACTATACTACCTATTCTTCTATTTAATGCTTACACTGGCACCTTTCTGTCAAGGGAATGCCTCTATCTTCTCTCTAATTTATCTATTGACTGCATCTCCCATAGCCTGTATATTTTCAGAAAGAAGTTTGTCTTCCAAAATTTATCGCTACATTATCGGATATCTTGTCAGCCTAGTTGGCCCAGGGCAGAGGAATGGTTTCGCTGCTCCTATAGACATATATATTTCATGTAACCCGATATACACAAGTAAGTCGATAACTGGATGCCATTTGATATCGCAGGGGGTCAAGTTACGATGTTGCGGTTTTGTTTGTACTCCGATTTGCATGCACCTGCACACAATCTATACCTGGAATTTTATCTGCACTTTTTCTCGGTGCAGTCGCATAGGAAGAGGTATAAATTGAATATCATTGTATGATAGTGAGGCGATCATTGGCAGTTATTTGTAATAAAAATTGTTTCAACGAGTTCATGTATTATAAAATCTCTAAAAGCAAAATCAACTCTGGTCCAGGAATGCAGAATTTAATTTACATAGCTGTAATCCATGATTGATGCTGTCAAAAGCTTTCGAGAAATCTATACATATTAATGTTTTTTGCATTGATGTCGCCTCCAAAATAGTCCCCATTAGATATTATGCACTTGTGCATAGGAATACTTGCTTTATATAGGGTGTTCCAAAAATAGACGGAGATATTTTAGAAATTGATTCTTTGTTGAAAAATATGAAACAAAGTGTCTATAAACATGGATCCGGAAATGCAAAGTTTTCAAGATTCTGTTGAAATCTGGCAATATTACTTGTCGTGTTAAGAGGCTAATTTAGCTATAAGTGAATAAAAATTATTAGGTCCAGTGGCGTCCCGGGGGGCACCTTCGCGAATATTATTGACAGAAAAACGTACGCCACTGCGTTTTTTGTAACTTTAATATATGCTGTTTGATTGAGCATCTAAAAATACAACTTCTTTGTCCCTTGTATTTTTTCGTATCTTACTTCATTTCCGAGAAAAAAATAAAAACTGTTTTATTGCAAAAAATCGTTCATTGGAAAATGTAAATCAAAAAAAAAATAGGAAAGAGTATTATTGCAGGTTCTCCAATAGGTACCATGACATAAAGTAGACTACAACAAATTTTGGAAATGTCCACCATCCATTTCCGTACAAATTGTCACTAGACGAATCATTGAACGACGAACTTGAGCTAAAATTCAATACACAAATGATATTTCCAAATTTCAACAGAATCTAGTAAATATTTTGTTTAAGATATTAATAAAAAGAATTAAATTTATAGGTGAAAACTCTGGATTTTCAGACGCATGTTTATAGAAATTTTTTTTCATATTTTTTATTAGGGAACACCCTGTATACCAACTTGATCGTATTGTATATGTTAGAATCGCTCCGGATTTTCTTTCGCGATTCATTGAATTAAGAAGAATTAGAAGAAACTGATTTCTTATAAAAACCTGATTAATGTAATTTGATATATTGCAATTATAATAAATTAGCAGAAATCTAACAATACGAAGTGTCTCTATTCTTTGAAAAAGATAGAACAACTCGATATATAGATGATTACGAGATACTTCTAGGAAGCAGCCTTATACGTTTTAAAAGTATTACGTAAGCCACATATTTAAAAATGCAGATAGTTCCTGTTACGCTGTGGTGAAGAAGGAAAAAACAGTCTGGTCGATTAATAACTATAGTTGCGAAATTAATTAAGATTTTAATTCTAGGTCAAATTTCTCGGATATAAAAATACACATCAGCTAGAAGATAAGTAATATAAAGATTAAAGAATTGATAATCATACGCGACATAGTGTTGTTGCAATCACTGTGTATATGGATACAAAAAATAGACTCGAGCAGGTTATTTCGATATTCTCACCAATTGATATAAATACAAATTTCAGGTGCAGTATAAGTTTGTCCCTAGCGACCATAAATGCCCAATTTCAACATTACTTTTCTCTACATTGTTTTAAGTTCTTCATCGTATGGGATGGGATGAGGACGAAAAAATAACGCATACATATTTGTACCTTGTACTTCCAAATGCACAACGTTTCGAGGACGTTTCAGTTTTATTTTCATGAGTTTCTTTTCAGAATTTTGAAGTTGCCAAGTAATATTGAAAGTAATGCCATTTTGCGTCTAAAAAATCGGTAACTTGCCTCTTCGTGCTTATTTAAGAAAAATTGCACAGTTTTATATTTTCAAGTTGTAGTCAAAATAGTGCTAATAGCGTTGTTTACCCCTGAAAGAACTTGAAAATAGCATGAGTGTGCTTTTCGGAAAAAATATGCAAGATTTTAATTTTTAAATGGTATATGCATTTTTCGGTATTTATTTAATTCAAAGAGTATTGAAGGAATGTGCAATAAACATGCATCTAGGAAAATCGTCAAAAACCTGTTTTTTTCGTTTCTTTCAATATATACATACTTTGAAATCCAACACAAAATAAATATTTATATACAGGGTGATTCAGAACTCGTGACAAAAAATGAAACGTCATACACAGGACCGCATTTTAAGGGAGGTCTTCTATGTAACATTTTTCACTCGAGGGCTTCATTAAAGTTTAAAGATAAAAAACAATTTTTTCAATATCTTCAAATCTGTCAACTGGAATTAACTTAAATTTGGTATCTGGATTTACCTAAGTATTGTCCACATTCAAAAGTCTTCACTCAAAATCAACGTGTACCAATGGCGGAGATACAGGGGATTAGTGGCATTATTTTTCGAAATAAAAATAGTACGCCACTGTTTTTTTTCGAAACGCGCAATTTTTCGAATATTTCCTTCAATATGCTACAAGTAATTACTCCTGTGTTTGTTCTCCTAGAGTGCACTGTTTTCGAAAAATAAAAATAAACAAATCAGATCATTCATGAACAGCCGAGATACAATTAGTTTCAAAATAAAAGAGAAGGCCTTGATACCAACTTGACGTTTCTTGGGAGATAGTTTGTCAAAGTTATGTGTTATACGGTTGTTATCGTTACTACTACCATTTTTTTTTTTTTGAAAAGTCAGGTCAAGAGGCTATATTTTCCATTTTTTAGTGTTGTGAAATGGAATTTAGCCGATATTATTTTTGTATACGGGTTCTGTAATGGAAATGTTTCAGTGGCTTCTCGGGAGCATCAACGTAGATTTCCTAACAGACGCCAACCTACCCCACAGGTTTTTACGTGTTCACTTCGAAGACTTCGGCTATATGGTATTGCCAAACTTCCCGGAGTTGAAGGCTATGGTGACCGGCATATTGTTCAAGAAGAACTAGAAGTCATTAATTTGGCGTTGAATGATCCTAGTACAAGTAGGTAGATTGCAGCCCAGTTACCATGTTCCCAAAGTCTTGCGTAAAGAATTTTAAATCGAGAACTTCTACCATCCTTACCATCGGCAAAATGAGCAATGTCTGCAACCCGGCGACGAAGTGCAACGGCGAAATTTTTGTGAATGGTAACTGCAAATGCATAATCAAAATGCAGATTTTATTGATTTGGTTTTGTGGTCAGATGAATAGCTTTTTACAAGGAGAGGAGCCTTATAATTCTCATATGGAATAAATTTGTTTCTTCTGTAAGAATCCACTCGTTTCATCACAGGTTTTCTAGAAATGTCTCGTGCAGTATTTTCAATGGCCAACTGTTTATGCACGTATTGCCACAACGTTTAAATACAAACTCATCCGTAGATTTTCTAGACAATTACATAGAACATGTGTAAGATGATGTTCCGTTACCAACGAGAGTCCGAATGTGGTATCAGCACGATGGTGCCCCACCGCATGTTCGTCGTGATATAACCGAATGGTTAAACAATCATTTTAGATCACGGTGGATTAGAAGAAACGGACCCGTACATTGGCTTGCGAGGTCTCCTGATTTGACCCCCTGGATTTCTTTTTGTGGGTTTAAACAACTAGGGTATGCAGATCAAATTAATACTGTTGACCAGTTACAAGAAAGAATAGATAAATACGTTTAGTTAAATTCAAACCACAACATTCTGTCAGAATGGTGGTCTTGTTGAACATTTTGAATATTTATTAAAATATCGTTTTGATTATCTTATTTATTTTTTCTTTATTTTTACGAAAACAATGCACTCTAGGAAAAAACATAAGAGTAATTATTTGTAGCAAATTGATGGTAAAAAACGCATTTAGCAAAAAACACTGATGTACTATTTTTATTTGGAAAAATAGTGCCACAATCCCCTGTATCTTCGCCACTGGTGCACGTTAATTCTAAGTAAAGACTTTTGAATGTGGACAATACTTAGATAAATCCACGTACCAGATGTTAGTTCATTCCAGTTGACGGTTTTGAAGATATTAGCAAAAATTGTTTTTTATTTTTAAACATCAAACCCCGTACCTTTTTAATGAAGCCCTCGAGAAAAAAAACGAAACATAGAAGACCCCCCTTAAAATGCGGTCTTATATATTGTTTCATGTTTTGTCACGACTTGTCAATCACCCTGTTTGTGAATCCTTATCAACGTCAAATGATAAAACACCGAACGTTGGTACCCTTTCGTTCTAAAGTATTCTAATTCCCAATGCTTAAAATAAATTTACCTTCTGATTTGCAAATTTTGGGATGAATAAATAAATAATTCACGCAAATCCGCGCAAATCAGGATCAGCATTTTGTACCAGAACCAACCCCCCTCCCATCCCCTTAGATGCGCCGCTGTCTCAACACAATGGTAAAGGAGCAGTCTATTCTTCAACCTTGTTTAGTGCTTTTTTCACTCGTTCGGTTTCATTATTTGCAATAAAAACAGTAAACGGCAACTCAACAAGAAACCAAACACCGTCCATATTCCAAACTTTGTATCACAATTATTGTTTCATGTCGCTGGGATCGAAGCGTAGTGCGAGGAGCCATAATGCAAAAACAACGATATTCAACCATTACAGGATCTCTTCCTTCAGACAGTGCGTTCGAATACAACCTAGTTTTAGAAATTGGACTCAAAACCACCAGAAGCGGAATCAAGATGATCGGAGTCGATTCCCCCTTCAGTATAGTTTCTTTGGACCGACTCGTTCACAACCACCCCACCTTTGTTTTAATATACATTCCACGTTAAAAAATGCTTAAAGCTTTGTGAAAGGATACAACTCTGTGCAAGCTGCTTTCCCTTTCAAGACCTTGTACTTGTATATGCGTCGGAATACATTTCATCAAAAAAATAATGCGTGCAACCTAAGTAAGGAATTTCCTGGGATTTCATGCACGCTCGGCGAGCCACTTTCTGCTCTAGGAACACAAATAAGTATTACAATTCACTGATTTCACGGAATGAGAATCGTTTGACACTGCGTTGCAAGTGAAAATAATCTGTACGCGCGAAGTCATGAATAATTCCTTATATCTTCAACAGGGACTGTTAACCTTTATACGAGATTTGCAGCCAGGACAGAAAGGTGTTCGTACTTTTTTTTGGTTATTTTGCAGCCTGCTGCCGCGATTAACGGGCAGGTGTTATAAACTACCTGCGGGGCGATTGCAGATGATACTTTCGATTTCTTCTTTTTTAATATCATGATATCATCAGTCTGTTCGGTTGATCTTGAATATATGTAAGCCGTTAATAACTTACACTCTCGATACTATAATCGCTAATGCAAAGAAAATGTATAAACAAGACAGTCAACATGGAAATGGAGGGTCTTCGTCACACATTTACAGTTATTTTCACGGTTTTTGGAAGTTATGTCATAGGAAACAAGTAAACCCTGTTTCACGAATATCCATCACGTTTTGACGTCTACTGAGGTAGACAATATACATATTACACTGTAACGTTGGCAAAAACTTGTGTGTAGCGCTTTTGTGTACAAACCTTAGCAAAGAATGACGGTTGGAGAGCACATCCGTTTTGGAATGACTTTGGATATCTTAAGAATTTTAGGAACAGTACTATTTCGAATACAAATACTAAAAAGTTTAGTGAGTGGAACGATAAATAATCAGATTCGTTATGGCCTTTACGATTATTGAATTTAAGTCATGCGTATCTGTGCTCTTAGATTTTTTTGCGAAAAATAGCAGATCTTACTTGATTGCAGGACACTTCTTTGAACGGAAACAGTCGATGTCGTCAATATGAACCCAGGAGTCTGGTGCATATTTGCTGGAGGAATATTGTCAATGAGTCTCTGAGCTATAGGTACTTGAGAAGTATGAATTGAATTCGTAAGCATTGAAGATGTTACTATGTTCAGATTATTCGCTGGAGCATTGGATCTATTAATATTCAACGTTGCTAGCTGCTTATTGCTTGAATTGTTTATACGAGTATATGTGCTTGTTTTTTGCTATTAATGTCGATTGTGTAACATAGTTCGTTCGCAAATTAGTTCCTAGAAATAGTTCGCGCTACCTCTTCATCATGGACCTAGAAAGCTTATTACCGGTTGATATTAATACTGAAAAGAAAAATATTGCGTCCTCTTTATTTGAGGTTCTATAGGAAAATTTTTATATCCGTCGCGGAATAGGCACTGAAGGCAGTCTCTGTGCCTTTTTGACGCTGGTGTCATTTTCATAGTCCCGTCTCCACAATAAATCATTCACAAACAAACTCGTGGGTGGTGATACGGCTTCGGCGATGATAAAAAAATGTATATCCACAGAATACAACAGGAAGCTGTAAATTTTGTTGGTATGTACGATAGCACGATTTAGTATGTAAAACGGGAACCATAAAAACGTCGCATCTTGGTCTTGGATCCTTATCCGACTTCTCAGGAATGCCAAACAAATATTTTCTGTGGTTATTGATCAAGAAAGTAGTTATGGGGATTAGATACATATAAATAAAATAAATTAACACTAAAATCAAGTTTTGCATTGATAGATAAACTTAATTAAAAGAAATCACAAATAAAACCAGTAAAGTACGAAGTAGATAAGACCATACGTATAAATTGGAAAAATATTAAAAAAATCCTGATAAAGCTCAACAATAAAGACGCACTAAACATTTACAAAAAAGGTAAATTGGTGGTGATCTTGACATCTACGATAGATAAAAATCATAAGTTTAAAGATATTCGTTTTCCTTCCAGTAAGTCGTGCAGATGACATCTAGGGATACAAAAGATCCATTTTGAGCTACTGTATAATATTAAGATCATATTTGCATCTTTGAAAGGTCCCTTTCTTCTCGAAATTGATTCATTACACTTTTCCGAAAAACATTTTTGTAATCAATACACCATGGACGTATAATAATTTCTCAATTGATTATGTCAGAATCAGATTTATAGTGATAGATGACCAATGATTATCGGTGAGGTTATCTGGAAAAATGAAATTCACTGTCAATCAGATAAACCTAAGGTCAGGCACCTGAATGAAAAACCCTGCTCTTTCATAAACAAACCATCAATGCATATCTACTCTCGCCTTGTCAAAAACAATTACTTTCAATGAAAGCGTCCTCAGCAAATCATCTGAATGTGGAACGATTGTTCATTCTTTTGTTTTATTTTACAAATTGTATGTTTTGCATTTCAAAAAAATAATGCGTCGACCTTGTTTCTGTTTAATTGATTATTGCGCGGATTTGGTTCCTGCGTTGCAGAGGAAATGACGGATTTTGCAAGAATGATTAGAAATTTTAAAGGAGGTTCTAGCAATACCTACAAGAACTGCTCGCTTGGTGGAATTTTATCGAATTGTATTCATTCGCTACCAGTACAATTTGTAGAAGAATTTAACGTGCAAAATAGCGTTATCTTAATAATGATAATAATGTTTATTCAAAAAAAGTACAATTTAGGAGCAAGGAAAAAGCATATCCCGCAATAAACATACACAACACCACAGAAAGGAAATGCGTGGGAGAATATACAAGATTGAGGTCAAACACTTCCAACTTATCATTGCCCTGCTGGCACATTTTTACCTATATGTCATTGAATAAAAAAGTAGGAAAATAATGGGCAAAATCCGCAAAAAGAAGGAAAATGTATTCAAGCAGAAAATATGATAGGTAACCCGAGCGATACGTATTTCTGCTGGTTGGCTTCATCAGGCCCGAAATGAATGCACATATGAAACTACAAAAGTAGATACACATGCCCACACATCCGGATACGGGTGTAACCTGAGGAAAGGAAGATGAAAAGAAAAAAAAATGACACACGAAGTCCACATCAAGAGCCAACCTACTCATTTTAGTATAACATGGCCAACCAGCAGAAATACGTGTCGTTCGTGTTACCTATTTTCTGCTCGAATCCACTTTCCTTCTTTTTGCGGATTTTTCCCATTATTTTCCTACTTATTGTTATAGACCTTTCTCCGCATCATAATTTTCTCTTTGACATTGAATATCTATAGAAAAAACAATTCAAATATACAAGACGTTAAACATTTTTTTTAATTTTAAAAATCCACATCTAAAAAACAGAAATATAAAAGTATTAACTAACCGCAGCTTATTGATTTGTTGAAAGATATTTATTTTTATTAAATCATACTAAAGACAAAGAAACAAAAGTAGTATCAATAAGAGAACATACGAATAGTTGAGTCAAACATTTATATTCTATAATAAAATAACAAACTTTTTGAATTGCGACATGAAACATTATAGATTTTACATATTTTCCATGATTCTGTGAACTTGTTCTTGTCCGTACCTACATACTTTTCAAAGATTGATAACCCAGAGTACTTCCTAAAAGTCGTCAAAATAATTCCAGACGATGGTATATTTTGAATAATCTTATGTAATAAGTGCATCGGTCATGTAACATGTCTCTATCGTAAAATACAGGGATACGGTTTATTTATTGCAACTACAAAAAATCCTCAGCTTGAAGGGCTTGTATAAAGGCGTATAATCCATCATTACCACACTTTAGTCTTGGAGACATTTCTCTAGCCGCTTCCCTTGTGCTTGTTGAAGAATTTTCTTCTCAGCTTGCACCTGTATCCTTAACTCTTTGCACAAGGTAAACAAATTTTCGCGGCGTTGAATGATAACGTCTGGGAACGCGATCTGCAACATTCGCGAAGCCCCGGTAGTATTTTGAAGATGCTCACCATAAATTAAAAACATGTCGACAAGTTCGATATTGCTGTTTGAGTGCGCCATTATCTCCGAACCGATTGGTAAATGGATGTTTTGTTTACCTCCGCTGCCGGCGCCTGGCTTGAGTACGGACATACGTCGTCTCTTCTCACGTTTGATCTGATCGAGATGCATGAGCGGATTAGGCTTGATTGATTTTGCGGATATCCTAGTTATCTTAAGACTTTGTTGTATATGCTACTAGGGGAAGTAGTGTAAAGCATAATTCATTGGTTTTGCACTAGCGTGAAGGGGATTGGTTTCACAGAAAGAAATGCAATATTACAAGGATAGCAATAGTTACTTTTGCAATGAACATTTGACTTGAAATTTGATTCAGGGCCGAGGATTGCGCATATAGACCTTTATCTTTTGTGACCTACAGGCGCGTTCTGCGATAACGTAAATAACAATGTTTGTAAATATTCATTCCAACAATCCTTGAGCGTAATGGTGGTACCTGCACTTCTGTTACACAGAAATTAGTACCCAAGTCATACCAATTTTAATCTCACTTCCTTTCCAGCTAGTCGTCAACATAACTGTATAATGTTTCATTGAGTGTATTTTAAAATGCGGGCTCGATACCGACGGACTGGCAACAGTTATTGAGATATTTTTGAAAACGATTAGTTACGTATGAGAGATACCGCTGTAAATAAAAAATGATTGATCGCATTTTCTTCGTTTTTACCTGGTTCTGCATAGGAGGAAGGGTTACTAGCCCCGATCATAGCGATATTGAGTATTATTGTAAGAATTTAAAAAGAAGTCGCATAGTCGTTCTAGCGTTAGTAGATGGCGCCAGCAGTTGGAAGTCAACGGGGTTGTCATATTGGGGGATTTTCTCCCAAATTTGGGAGATTTTTACGTCTCTTGAGGGATAAAATGTTCTGCGGGAAAATAAAATCGTTAGGTAGTTTGTTCCATCTTTGAGTACAAACAACTGTCCACAGATAAATAACAATGTTATCTTTCTGTAGCTTTCTGTTTTCACCATATCTCCACAAAAAATGTTCTACGATTTGACCCATTTCCAAATCCAGTCAATAGTAGGCTGCTAACAGAATCCCCTCAGATGTCAAGCACTCCAAATTGTTTTTGAATGAGTAGGAGGTGAGCAGGAGTCTATTGAACATACAAAAAAGACAAAGTATACAGAAAAACAGATTAATGAGTTGTGAACTTTGAACTGGCGGGTTGATTTAGCTATCTTTGTCTCAGATGCATTCCGGGAGAAATAACTAGACGATCACTCGTCACTCGTCTTCACCCCTCCTTCCTTTACACTGCATACATATCTTGCAAAAATTACCAGTTTTCTCTAGTAACATGTACACCACAGTCTCAAGATTACCGAGATGTTGGGCTTCGCAAAATAAATTGAACCTAAACAAAACCTACTCCGGTCCTGCACCTCGATCAGATCAAACGTGAACAGTAAGTACTTAATTCAGGCGGTGGTAAACAAAACCTTTACTCATCGGTTCCAGAAAACAAAACAAAGATGGCACACTCATACAGCGACGCTGGAGTTGTCCATATTATTTTAATTGACGGTGAGCCTCTTCGAAATCCTACCGAGGCTTCCCGAGTGCATACAGATCCATTCTGAAAGCCTAGATTGATGCTTCGCTACGTCGAGAAGGTACATGAGTCTTTAAGTCTAACGCAGACAACTTTGACAATACTTACAGGTGACAGAGCTGTACTTGAAATTTATTTTCGTTAAACGGTGAGTAGTTTTTCATTCAACGTAGCTGTTTCAGAAAAAGAAAGTCCCAACTTTCAGGTCACCCTGCATATTATAAATTATCTCTCGCAAGTAAGTAGTAACACAGTTATTTTCAATAAAATGCTCAGTAGCTGAGTCATTGCTGTCATTGTATCAGATGCGGTCCATGCTTCGAGTAGGATCGAAAATGCTTCTTTTTGCGACTACTTCGCAAACCCTTCTTTTCGAAAGATGGAATTTGCGTATGGGTCACAAATTTTGTGATTAGCAAAATTCTAAATGACGCAAGACACAACAAAACACATCCAACCAGATTTTGGCATGCATTGCAGGCTCCTCACAGGAAATTCGTATGAGTAACTCCTGCATCATGTCTGCATTCGCGGTGTTTTGTTTTGCTCACAGCGTGTACTTGGCCTATGCAATATGACTTGGCGCTTGTCGGTACTATTTCGGGAATTCTCGTAAACTATATTTAGTTTTGTTGCGCATACGGCGCGGCAGCACGTTTTCGCGATTGTTGTATTGCATACTTTGTACATAGGAAAGAGAAATTACTGTTCGAGTCAGTTTTTGATAATAAAAACGCGTTCCCCTATAGACATTGTTATCGATCCCCTCATCAGTGACTAAGAATGTATGGTTATTTTTCAAGTTGTTTACATCTGGTAAAACTTTTGTTTACTTTCGCAGAGAAAAGCAGGTAAAAAGAGGGTCGACTGACCCTTTCGAGGCATCGACGGGGTGAGGACGGAGGATGTACACGACAACGAGCAACCAGGCGGAACGCATGGTTGGACCCATCACGTATTTCAACGATTTATTGCACCGTCTATTTTGATATTGGAAAAATGATATGACAGCTGAAGAACTAAGCAAAATGCAAGTAATGGGATGAAATTCCAAAATAACCTTTATAGGATACCTTGAGGGATAGTCCAGTTGCGTGGAAACAGAGATTGTCTTACTACCTTGATGCTTTAACCAGAGGTGCAAATATTTCAACAGTATATTTGTGTTGAAATTAAATTTAGAGTTTTGAAGATATGCGTAGATTATGAATTTGTCGACTTTGTCATCAGTTTGATGCTAGGGTCTACGTAAAGGGGGCACATTTTAACAGCAAGTAGGAAATGAGTGAAATCTCAAGACGATGAAGCTACTTATTAATGTAACTCCTGAAACTTATCCGGGGGTTTTCATGCACATGTGGCGCCATTGTTTCGCCGAATCAAACTACATATATGTTTTAATTTCTGTTTATTCTACGTTTCTGCCGCGGCGGTGGCCCTTTTCAAGTACTATTCACTTGATACGTAATGGACTTGAAAAAGGCCACCTTAGTGGCCGAATCGTCGTACAATAAACAGAAATCCCTGCTAATATTAAATCAGAAAGTATGAATAATTGTTACTCAATCACGCCAAAATGGCTGAATGGATCTGGATGAAAGTCTATAGGCGAAACTACAAAAGAAATTTGCTCCCGAAGGTATACAAATCTGGATCAATTCAAATTAAGTTATATTGGGTCTCTAACCTGAAAAATGTGTTTTTCCGAAAACAATTTTTGAGGGGTTAAAAAAGCTACCGTCCCTAGATTGTTATATCATACATAACCGTGATTTTTCATAGACTTGTGCGATGTACATATTCGGCAGAAAGACATTTTTTTTTTCGAAATTTCGGTTAGGTAACGAAAATTTCGCGAACTTCACAAAATCGACTGTGTAATAGTGCTTTTTGCATACTTTCCCGATCCACTGACAAAATGTTTATTATTGCCGGCAAAATTTGTAGAAATCGGAAAAACCACTTTTTCGCCGATCTTCTCCAATTTTTTTATATTTCAAACGTAAGGTATTATGAGTTGATGAACTTGAAAATCCAACTTATATATCTATTTCTCTCCGTTTGTTTAGGTTCCACAATCAAAATGGTAATTTGTCTCCCGGAAAATAGCGAAACTAGGCGAAACTGCATTTTCACTTTCTTCCTTTTTTTTACGTTATTGGTTAGGAAAGAAATAAGTGGGTAACCTGGTAAATCACTATATATACTCATGTTTTTTACGTTCTTTTCCGTTCCGTCATTGAAACAATGATTTCTTAATCTGAAAAATTGGCAGAAATCGAAAAACCCGCATTATCACCGAATGTTACAATTCTGCTATTTTTAGACTAGGTTATCATAACATGGCTAACCAAAAAAAGCTCATTGCGCGTATGTATTATCATGCATCTTGCAGGTTTCTTTATCAAACTGATTTGTTGCCCGGAAAATTGCATAAAAATAGGAAAAACCGCATTTTGGCACTGATTTTCTCCGTTTTCTGTCATTCCAGTTCCATTGTCAAAATGGTGATTTTGGACAAAAATGAATTATAAAACTTTTTTAAATTTTCTTTAGCAAAAATTCGAAAAATTATTTCAACAAATGTTTTTGTTCAACATATAAGTTGCACAAATTTATAAAAATTCACGATGTAGCGCCGGTATTTTTTCAAAATCTATTAAGCAAAATTTCGCCCGCAAAAAAAGTATTTTCTAAAAAACGCCTTTTTAAGGTGAGGCCTCTAAGGGCGACCTATCGATCCGACAGTATGGCTGAGCTGATTTGACCCAATATACCTTAATTTCGATTGATCACAATGTATATCTTTGGGGGCAATTCTCGTGTTAAGTGTCGCCTACAGCATTTCCAATCAGCCGATCAGTGACGTCACCCATCTGGCATGTAGACGCAATTATTCTTAGAATGGATCCTTTGTGGTATCTATTAACAAATTTATTGGGGTTGCTCCCCACATGTGGGTATATTTGGGAGTGGCGTAGGGAGAATCGTGTATCGAATATCGCTTGTTTGTTAACCGCCCCTAAAATGATTCACATCCACGAGACCCGTCTGTTGATACTATATCTAGAGGAATGACTGCTTTTCTGCTTTGAAAAAAATATACCTTCACGTGTTAAGTACCTGATGAAACACCTGAGTTCCAAACTTTAGAAGTAGAGTAGAATCGGACAACTCTCTTCCATGGTGGAATACTCGAGCATGTCATATATGTAAATAGAATGAGTTAACACTGTCGTGAAAATTGAGTGTGATTTACTATTTTCATTTCTAATGACTCCTAAATGTTTAGTATTATAAAACAAGGATGAGGTATTATGTTTTTTGTCGTTATTTTACGAAAAACCATGTCACTCATTTCTGTCGGTCGATCTGACTGTCTATATACCAATCTTATAACCGCCTATAACTTAGGAAGCACCGCTCGGATTTAAATGAAATTTTTGAACAAGGTTACCCTGCCAAGGATGAAAAACCTATATAGTTGTTGAAAATCGGTCCAGTGGCGGAGAAAAGAAGATAAATAACGAGAAAATAAAAATTGCTCAAACTTCGTTTTTTGCCGTTTCAGAAGCTCCTGATCATTTTCCGAAAAAAATGTATAATGGTTAACAATTTTTAAAGGGAAAATAAAACTATTTTCCACGCCTCTGACAACATCTATTGCATTTTTCAGCTTCTTCAAGTTTGCATGCGTCGCGTCTCTTGAGAAATATTTGTCAGACTACTCCAAATCCAAATAAGAAACAATGTTCATGTTTCGTCCTTATTCAACATCATCGGTGTTGTAGAAACTTGCAACACTCTGTAAATTGGTAGTAAGTCATTTTAAGGGACAATCAAGAAAATTAGGTAATCTTTGGCAGGCTTTATTTCGGTAAAAAATAGTCGTATCGTGACTTTAAAAAAATAATTTTGAAGCTCTAAGATTCTAGATTTCAGGTTTTTAGCCGAAAAATTTTAGGAACAACGGTACTCACGCAATTCTAACAGATAGATTATTTGGCGCGAAGATATCTGATTTTGAATTTAACCACTGAAATCTCGGTAATTAGTGTAATCTCTAATGAAATTTGATTGTTTTTTTGTTGCTTTCTTGGTATTGATTTTAAAAAGTCAAAAAAGTTACTTTTTGCCTTGTTTTAGAAAATCTACCGCATTTTTGGAACTGCTTCTGAGAAGGCTAATAGTTTTAGGTTCTTTATAGCTCAATACCACTAATAGGTGAACCTGCACGATGGCAGATCAATCCATTGTACGGTTTCTTCAGACCGATCGGTCAAAATTTGAAAGAAATCGAAAGAGCTACATTTTTTTATCAAAACATCATGTAATCTGGTAGAAAATCGAAAAATAATTTTCCATCTTTTGTTGCAACATCCTCAATTAAAAAAAATAGCAATTTTAAGACTTATTCCAGTTTTCGGAAACAATCTTACATTCTCTGTGCAATCACTGATGGTTACCGAGACATCAGCGCTCGATGACCTTTTTCATTCAAGGTCAGATATCTACGCGGAAAATGATCGTATCTAAATTTTAAAAACAATACTATTGAAGCGACGGACTATCCGATCCATGTGACATGTGATGGCCTAACATAAAAAAAATTTCAAGTCCGTGGACTAAAAAGAAGAAGAGAAACATTTTGCAAAAAATGTTCTTGTGCTATATGTATAAATTGCATTAGAACCATTTCTTATAAAATTCCTCAGCTAAAAAGCCTAAAAACTGGAATCCTAAAGCTTCAAAATGCTTTTTTTTTTAATCTAGATATGACCATTTTCACCGAAATACAACCTCTCAAATATCTCCAAAACATTTGTATTTTTTACATGCTCCTTTGATTTTATAAAGTAGTGTATATGCTTTTATTTAGAAACTATTTTTTATGTACTTTAGGCTCTACAAATATTTCCGATGCATTTGTCATCTTTATTTAGGAGCTCATAATACACAGATGGAAGTGTCTCCACATTTCTTTCGCACGCTCTGGTTTTTTATAGAAAGTGAAATTGATACAGATGGCTTCGCGCATTACGGTCTCATTGCAGTCATCATTTTTAGGTCATCATGAATAGACGTTGTTGAAATGGACATTAATTCATTATATTTTTAGAGCAAACCCACTCGGCAGCCAGCTGATTGTACAACTATCGAAAATCTTCAAATTATACCACTCTGAACTTCTGAATGCAGCTGCGGTTTATAAAAAAATAAAGAAAAAACATTGCCTCAAAACTAGCTTTTTTAACTGAAAGTGAAACGACATAAAAACGGGATTCATTTTTCTTTCGATTGGAAACATTCAAACTATATTGCAGCTTTCAGATCACTGAGGATTTGATTTGGTATGAGCACATTTTGCTAGTACTGCTCACATTTTTGAGATTTTGCCGCCCAGGCTACATTGTCCACATTCGATGCTGTTCACAGGAGGGCTGTTCGGTTAATCAGTGAAACTTCTCTAACGGACAGTCTGGAAACACTTTCACTTTCTTCTACCGCTATGTCACCAGGCTTTGCTCCTCAGAGTATTTAAGCAAAATTCATTTGAAAAACATTCTTCGTATTCGATTACAATTACAAAAACATTGGTGAATGTCATCATTTATATCTGAAATTTATAGATTTAGCAAACAAGAACAGAATTGTATAAACACTAGACCTAGCCACTAATCTGCATTCGAATTTACGGTGAATACCATGGTAAAGGACGATGCTGATACTTAATGTCATCAAGGTGACGAAAATTTGGCAACAGTCGTGGGTAATTTTAGATAACTGAACTTAACCCTAATTTTCTTGGATGCAGTTCCGAACCGGCTGATGACTCCATAATTCTACAAAGGTAAATGTGTTTGTATAGGCATTGGTTATTCTAACTCAATGGCGTCAAGTAGATTGAATCTGTACTTCCTCAGCCTTCGCTGGAGGTTTCAAAGACAAGGGATGAGTCAAGTCGTTTCAAACGGGGCCTCTGAAACGTCAAAAAACGAAGTTTGCGCTGCCCCTGGATCGATTTCCAAAAAAAGC